AAATTAATCCTCTGAGGTCAGTGAGGAAACTTCCATTGACTCCAGGAGATTTAGAATTATATTGTACACTTAATTTTCTTCCCCCTTCTACCTCCCAACATCCTCTTTTGTTTCTTCTGGAACTTATTTACTCACCACTTTAGCCGTTTCATATCTGGTCCCATGAAATTGGGAATTTACTGGAGCATTGAGAAAGAGAACTAAATAGATGTCCCTCCAGCCATTATTATTGTTTGCACTTCCTATTTTAAATCACATTCCCTCCTGCCCCTTTTTCATCATCTTCTTTAAGAATTCTAAGCCCTTTTAGACAAGTATCCTATTTTATCTTTTATATAGAAACAAAAATGACAGCTGAGCAAAGTGTGATGCTACTTGACAATACCAATTTCAACCACCCGTATTTCCAGCTGCTCTGAGCAATATACCACCTCAGGAAAGTTCTATCTCTAGAAAACCATTATTTAATGATTAACATAACCATTTCTTAATTTTTAAAGACCCAAACAGCAAATATAAGAACACACAACACATGTAAAACTCTTACAACCCTTAATCTGTTTGGAGAACACCAGCACCTTGGTTTTAGATTTAGAATACTTTAGAAAATTCTATTTAAATCACAGAAACCTAATCTTAGCACGTTTCTATTGAAACATTTGAGTACTCCAACCACAGGAATTTCGCATACAAAATATCTTCATTTTGCAGTGAAGTGGAAAAGAAATGAACACCAGAAATACTGCATTTATCGGTTAATTTAACTAAGTACTCTCTAAAAAAAAGACTAATTCTCAAACCAAAACTCAGAATGCTAACATGCTCACAACTATGTACACAAAAAAGCAGCTGTAGAATCAGTCTCATAACTCTGAGCAGTCACTTTATATAAAAATTTACTTTAAATACAAACAGCATTCCTTATCCTTGCTCTCCACTTGAGAGCACTGCACTCGTATTTGTGGACTTAATGTAATATGTAAACTACATAAACACATCTGTTATCCTTCATCGCTCACTAGATGGGATCAGAGATAAATAAAAAATCAGGTAAGAAAACCTACTCATCTCCATAGTTTTTTTCCTCTCCAAACAACTCCCAAGAAGAAGAAAACACGTCAATTACTCACAAAAATATTATGGCTTAGCTGTATATTTACAGGAATATTGTGCAGCTAACTCAATGGACACTTTCACAGAAATGTGCACTTCAGTCTGTCAAGCCTCTGAGATGTCACCTAAGAACCATCCAGATGGGCACAACTGGTGGAGAAACCTTCGTATTACATTTCAACTGGCAGCCAAAAAAAAGAAAACATTACAAATATCAGAATTAATTCTCATCTTGTTATTCCACACCCAAGACAATGCACAGTGTGTGAGCAGACCCTAAAATGGCCCAGCCAGGGCTGTCAGTCCATACTGGGACACTGTCTGACAGGAACATGGCTTTCCACTTCCTTCTGCCTGCTGTTCCAGCCTATAATCAATGTTCTTGCTACATACACTTTCTTTCATGGACCACTCCTAAGGTTCAAAAGACAGATGTTAGGATGCCTTTGGTTGTAAGTCAGTGTCTTAATGATTAAATTAAGATACACCACTGTAAAAAAGAAAGTACACAACAGATCATATTACAATCCCAATGTCATTTTCCTGTCCAATGATACCCAGTATTTCCATCTTTGTTCCCAATATAAAACAAAAAGCTGTGCTTGCTGTTTCAAATGAACTTGCCACATAAAGCAAGCAAAAAATTAGTAGGAAGGATCAAAAAAGTTACATAAATGTCCAGAATGCAATAATTTAAATTGGTAAAAAGGAGAAACAATGCTGAAAAATCAATTGCAGAGTGAGCTGGATGACCAGAGGGAACACTAAAACTACAATTAGCTTAATCTAAGGCCTCCAAATCTGAGACAGAACAGTGCTCCAAGTAGGAAACAAAGCAAAAAAAAAAAAAAGCTCCCCTTTGAGCTGAGCTATTGAAATGTAGTAACAAGTTACTCTTCTGTCTTTGGAAAATGAACAAATTGCAGAAAACAGTAAATGAAATTTTTCTATTGAAGCCATAAAAATTACTATATTTAGTTCTGCAGCTTGGCATGAATAAAGTCAATTTACACAATTCTGGAAGAGGAATTCTTTCTACTTTGTCCAAAGTTTTAAACAAGGCCCTAGTGATATTATTTTTGAAATCCATATAGAGTTCAAGATTTTGCTTTAAGCCTCACCAATTAAAGTTAAGATTTATTCCTCAGAACAGCAGTAAAATATTTTAGCAACACACAGAGAAAGATTAATTAAATTCATATGGTGGGGGTATTTTACCATGCAATGCTTATGAAATATCAATATAAAAGAGAAAACTGATGATCAAATTAACTTGCACAAATATTATCTCTTGCTAATCACAAAACTGTATCATCCAGCTGCTTAGTAGGTGATGAATGTGTGTTTAGGACCTAAGTGTAGTTTCTGTATTAAGGTTTAAAGTTATTTTACTGCATCAATTAGTTTATTTCAATCGCTCTTACTAGCCCATAAATCCAAGCTTAGGCTAGCCTCCCAAAACCAGACCAATTGCTCCCTCCTCTGGAAGTCACCGACCATTACACCAGGGCGCCGAGATGCGCAGATAAAACGCGCATCAGTAAGAAGCGAAGTTAAACAAATTAGAGGGGGTTTCCACTTAATTACTTGATAGTCGGCTAAGATTTGACAGACTGATAACTTGCACTTTTCAGCCTCTTACCAGAAAGATTCACATGCACAGGCTTACAAAATCTAAACACTTAAAAGCAGAGAATGTAGAAGACGAGGCGAGGCACCAGAAACATGGAATCAGAGTGGTTTGGGTTAAAAGGGACCTTAGAAACCATCCCTCCTCCAGTTCTAACGTCCTGCCAGGGGCAGGAACACCCTCCACTAGACCAGGTCAGACTCGATGGGCTCTGAGTGGCCTTGAACACTTCAAGGGATGGGGCATCCACAACTTCTCTTGGCTACCTGTTCCAGTGTATCACCACTCTCAGAAGGAAGAATTTCTTCCTAATATCTAATCTAAACCTACTCTCCTCCAGTTTAAACCCGTTCTCCTTTTTCCTGTCACTACACGCTCTAGGAAATAGCCCCTTTGCACCTTCCTTCTAGGCTCTTTTCAGATACTGGAAGGCCACAATTAGGTCCCCTTGAAGCCCTCTCCAGGCTGAACAACCCCAATTCTCTCAGCTTTTCCTCACACGAGAGGGGCTCCATCGTCACGTCCCTCCTGTGGACTTGCTGTCCTGAACATTTTCAGACTCAGTAAAATACTCCCATCAGCTTCAAACACAAGGAATCTAAAATAAAGAATATAGTATTTTCTGTACTCTGCCTGCAAAGACAAGTAGGAATAGTTTTCAATGGAAAATCTATTGCATGGGGATCTTCTGTGCAAAACTTATGTGAAAGCTGAAGTCTTAGAAAATATTTACACTAAATACAAATCCAGTGAATTTAAAGAAGCAAGACTTGACATACAAAGTCCCTGACTGAACAAGGAAAATGTTTATCTGTGCACAAAGCGAATTTCAATCAGGTCAAGGTAAAGTTAATTTTCCGCATTTGGTACCTGCAAAAAACTAACTCTCATTCCTCAAACACTGTAAGAAAGAAAAAGTAGTATTTCGTCAGCATTTTCAAAAGCTTTATCTGTGATACTGCTCACCTACAGACGTGCTCAATGAGAACCTAGCCCTGCTCGGGCAGTCAGGGATGCTAAACTTGGTGACTGCAAGGTCCATGCTGAATATCAGCGACACATCCTTGCTGCACAATGAAGCTGTAATGATGCAGGTCAGAAACCAAGAGTCTGCAGGCTCTATATTGAGTAAAGACATTCCAACTCACAGCACTTGTTTTATTGGGCACTTACATGAATATTGACGATATCAAGAGTTCTCAGCTGAGAAAAGCAATGCCCTCAGCCTCAGCTCCTGTTGTTATCAACATCAGTGGCGCACAGAGTTGGAGTATCAGCTAACATGTGCCCAAAATCAAATACATTTCTCCTCTAAGTCCCTCTAAAAACTCAGCAGCACTGAATAATATGATACTGTTAAACTTCTGGAGGTTTACAATCCTGTTAAACAGTAAAAACATAATGCAAACATGCCACTAAATGACAGTGGTTTTGTTTGGAAAAGAACACACAAAAATTAAGTGCTTGGTCTTCTCATTAAACAGGTTGGTTACCCACAAAACCAAGCTCTGACAGCTTCCACAGCCTGATCACTCAGGAAGGATTTTGTAGCTGCCCTCCAAAAAATTCCAAGCATTCCCACAGAAGAAAAATCTGTTGTGTTATGAAAATTCCTGGAAAAACACTTCGAAGAGAATAATATGTTGTGCTAATCACAATTAAGTTTACTTATTGATTAGCTGGGATAGTCACAGTAGTAGAATTATGAAGTGTTATGTTTATTACAGAATGTTTTGAAAAGTTTTGCTTTTCAGCACATAACTAGAAGCCTAGGACTGTTTGCAAAATGAACTTCAATAGCACTTTATTGCACGTGAAACAACCAATCCCTGAAAATGGAAAAGGAGGCAAAAAAAAAAGACAAATAAATAATACTTTAAGAACATTGCTACACCTTAAACCAGGAACCCTGAAACCTGGGAAGTACATAAATAGCATTACAAGATTACAGTACGAAAAGAATCCACCCAAAATTTTACTTCAGGTAGCAAATAATTTTTTACTGAGAATTCATGCAGTTTCTCGCTGCACAACTAATCACTTTTAGTTAAAGCCTTTTAATCCTCAGCTGACCCCAGATACACTCTGCCATGATATAGCAGCAATTCCAAGTTTGCTTCCAGAGGGAGAGAAAAGCTCATATAAAGTATGCTACCGTGACCAGAAGCCTGAAGGAAGCACTTTTCGTATCAACAGACACATTCCAAGCAGTATTACAGATTTATTATTTTTTTTAAAGCTATGACATTCTACTTACCTTAATGACAAATTTGTTGGATGCCATGATAGGTCAGTGTAAGCTGGCCCTATAAAAATACCAATTAACAGTGATCAGTACTGGAGAAACACTCAGATCTCTACAGCAATCAAAAAGGAATTTTACATATGGCCCATTCGTTCATGACTACTGTTCTTCAAAGCCTACACTTTGCTTTTAGAAAAACAAGGAAAACTCTTATTTAAAGGACAATTACTTAGCTACCTGTGTTGGTTTCTTTTAATGAACCTCATAACTTTGGAGGCACTTTGCATCCAACACAGGAAATACAAAGTTAGAGCTCTTTCATGTAAGAAACTATAGCTTTTGGCTCACCTGGTATCCATCCATACATCCACGTTATGTATATTTTAAATTTTATACTACACACATAGAGCAGCATAACCCAAGTCTTACGGTGGTTGCACAAAAATAAAGTGAACTTGGGACATCCTCCTCCCTTGCTTATCCCAAACAGGACCTAAATCACTTAATTTGGAATCCTGAGTGAAAATATTAAAAATTGAGGAATGTGTACACATTCCTCATTGCATGCTTCAAATCATTAAGTACTGTGATAGAGCTGTCAACATTTCAGGACACAAATTACATTGGGGACATGTATTTCTGTCAGGCACTAGGCTTACATGTTCCAAAATGCAGTCGTTATTGCTACTTAACTTCAAAAAAAGTGCAAAACAAGATAAACATCCACTTTAAAACTACACAGAGTAGCACAGATGATTTTAATCTTAAGATTCTCAACAGTCATGCACACAGAAGCTGGAATACCGTCACGCCTTGTGCCATGTCGCTGTCATTCTCCCTTGCACCAAACAGCCCTGGAAACTTCTCCATTTTATCAGATTAAATCCTGACAACTCTACTGATGGCAATTTTGAGAAACACAATGCAAAGAACAGAGCTCTGGACCACTTGTGACATCCTAGTTCAGTTCAGTCATGTAGTAAGTTCAGCTGAACTTACCCTGGCATCACTGATTTCTTTCTGGAAACAATTTACTTTCCAGATAAATACTATTGCAACACGTCTGCTACTACTCATGTGAGAACTGCTGGCAGGCAGAAATCCCCTCCACATACAATTTACAAAATAATAGAAGAAAAACATAAGAAGGAAAAGGACGCACAGGAAAAGTTAGCTTTGGTTCAGTTTGCTCTTCCTGGGAGTAAGCTGACTTTGGGAGTTTGCCAGCTACCCCATTCTTTGCACTGACCACACAGATAAGACAAAGGAAATAGAGCAGACAGACAAAATGTAAGCAAATCCACAGAAAACAAAAAGGAAAATATTTTATGTGTGAACCATCAGGGAAATCACTGAAGTGACACAGGTGAAAAATACTCAATACTAAAACATCAGAAGATGAGGAAAACCACTCATCAATTCTTCAAGGAAAAAAACCAAAACAACTAGCCTCAAAACAACTAACCCCAAAATACTTTGCCATTTCCTGTGTTTAAAAAAAACACCAAAAACACAGATTTGTCACAACTGCTAATGTTTGACAGCAAGGTTCTGTCTCATAGAATGCTTTTTCTGTTGCAAACCTCCAAAGTAAATGCCACATAAGGACATATGAAAATAAGCACATATGACAGAAAAACTCCTCACAAGACTGTATATATATATATTTTTTTTTTTTTTACTAAAAAACAAGTCCTGATGTTGGATGTGTATTATTCCAAGACCTAAAATACAATCTGTGCACGAAGACATGATTTAGAATCAAACACATAAGTTGCCTGTAGCTAGAGTGAGACACGCTTAAAAAATAATGTAGCAGAATATCTTTCTTCCCTAAACTTGAGTCAAATGGAGCGGGGGGTATTCAGGAGAAGCCAGAAAACACGGTGACCCAGACAGCAAGCTCAAGTGTCCTCTGCCAGCTGATGAACAGCATCTTACCTTAGCAAAGCAGCTTCCTGTGGTGAGGAAATTCAGAGGGAGGAGGAACTGAGAACTCCTGACAGACACTCGGAGATACAGCAGCAAACTTCACCCACTGCCCATCTCCGGGCGGGGAGAGGGGGCAGCTGAGAACGACAGAAACAAAACAAATGCTAATTAAGGAACTCTGCAGGGAAAGTTGATATTGACTATTTTTGCAGTACGAAATGAACTATCACAACATAAAAGAGGAGTTTTCTGAACTTTCCCGTCCAGCACCGGTCAGTTTCTGGAGCGGATCCTAAGCTGGGGATGAGCAGCGCAATGCTCAGCTACCCACACATCCAGCAAAGCACCCCCAGTTCTAAAAACACACACCACGGTCTTCCCATTTGCCATTCAGGATTTCTATGCCCACTGTTGCCAATTACGCCACTTAACCCTAGGAAAATACTCTTCCAGCCAGTCAGCACCTTTTCTGCTCGCTGTTACTCCTTCTTTCATACACTGCCCATTCACCTTTAAGGCTCAACAAGTCAGTTTCCAAAACATGACCCAGTCGCCACAGAACTGCCTGGATCTAGAGGGAGAAGAGGTTCTGAGGAGCACCAGAGGGCCACAAACAGATACTGTTTGTACCTTTAACTTTTGTGAACAGCTGAATGCAATTAACAACGAAAAATTACTATACAATTAAAAAAATTATACTGCTTTCTGCACGGAGATCAGGCATTAAATACTTGTCTTTTGGCTACAGTCATAAACTCTGCAACTATAAACGAAATTGAAAACAAACCCATTCATTAACATATGAATATAAAACGAAGTCGTTTTGACAGCAACTGAAGGAGTAGAGAGAAGAGTGAAAACACAGGAAAAGTATAACTGTATTCACAGGAGTATTTCTTGTACTTACAGGAGTGAATACAGGAAAAGTGAATACAGGAAAGCAGAGGAGCTACGGGAAAGCGGAGGTCAGGGAACAAAGTTATTTGAACTAGTTTGGCCCGGGGCACTTCTGCCCGCCCACAGGAAGCCTCAGACAGCTGGGCGCAGGTGAAAGGCGGAGCGGCTGCAGTAGCAGGTATGCAAGGAAGAAAAATCACAGATATATAAACGTATTTTTATGCCTGGCCAGGCTGGGCGGGGGTGAGGAACGGGACAGAGCGCCTGAGGTGGCGGTGACGCGGCGCCTGAGGGATGCTCGGTGGGAGCCGACCGGCACCGCCGCCAGAGCCCCGGCCTTCCGAGCATCCCCTCAGCGGTTTAACCGAGGAGAACAGCGGGGCCGGAGCCCCAGGCGCGGCCCCAAGAGCCGGGCGGCCCAAGGCGGCCGTGCCGTGCAGTCCCTACGCCGCGCCCGCCTTCCGCCGCTCCTCTGCCCTACCCAAAATGGCCGCGCCCGTCGTCGCCGCCGCCCGCCCCGCGCTGCCCGCACGCAAAATGGCCGCCAGCGGCTGAGGCGGGCCGCGCCGCGAGTGACGCTGCGCTCGGCTAATGGCGGGCGACGAGGGGCGGCGCGGCGCGGCACGTCCGGGGCCGTGCTTCCTGCGCTGCTGCTTCTTCCTGCCGGGCCGCGTTTGAACGTGTGGGGGAGCGCTCGCCTCCCCGGGAAGGCTCATCGGTAGCGCCTTCCTCGCTCCCTCCCTCCCAGACCTGGGAGAAGCCTCAGGTGTGCCGCGCCCGCGGTCTGTGCCCGAGGGCGCCGCTGCCCCCTCAGCCGCCCGCGCTTCAAGGTCGCTCGGTCGCGGGGAAGGAGGAGGAGGAGGAGGAGCGGGTTGTGAGGGCTCTGTAGGGCGGTGCAGGGGCGGTTGGTGGAGCGGGGTGCACCTGTCAAGGCCATGGAGTTGGGCCGCCTGTAGGAGCGTTTCCTCTCCGAGTTACAGCTTTGTAGCCGCTCAAACCAGGGAGGCTACTATTTTGGTATAAAACATGAGTGTACGTGCGAAATCCCATGGAAAGCAGGTTTTTTCTTCCAGTTCCTTATTACATAAGGATTAACTTATTGCTCTCTTTGTAATGGTGCCGCTTCTGAATGCTATAAGGTGGTCAGGCAAAGCTGCACAAAGGTAAAGTAGCGTCAGAAGCTTCAGCCTTGCTTTGCCTGCAGTTTCAAAGTTCTGCATTGCCTAGGAGCCCAGCTACTCATTGAATTTTATTAACTGCAGGGGGGAAGGTGATTTTGAACCTGCTTTTGGGCTTCAGATGCTTACCATCTGGGCAGTAGTGCTTGTAATTAGATAAAGCTTTGTTGCTTTGTTGTGTTTAAGATTTAGTATGCCAAAGCTTGAAGCAAATGCAGCAATTAACATTTCAAAATGTCTGAATTAAGGTTATTTTTTTTTGGTTCACAAAGTAAGACTTTTTGTTTAGTGTTTTAGTCATCTGCTGCACTGCAATTAAAGGTATTAACATTGAGCTTCATCTGTTCAGTGTTGTTATTGTAGAGTAAAAAAGGATTTCTAGAGTATGTTTAAATTAATAAATTATCTTTACCTAGGTAGATGCCAGTTTGCAATGGGTCTTAAAACCTTCTGGAAGGACAACAAAGTTCTGATTGTTATGGGAGCTGGCCTGGGGCTAGTGCACTGGGGCTGGTATTACTTGAAGTCCAGTCCTGTTTTCCAGGTGAAGACAGAGGATTTTGATCCAGAACGTGAAATTCTGACATTCATGATGCAAAGCGCTCGCAAAAGTAAAGAGAAATAGCATTAGTACTTTGATTTTTGGGTAAGTTGCCTTATTAGTTGTATCTGTGTCTTTGAGGAAGAAGATGAATTAATTGAGAATTTTCAAACATACAGCCTTGGTGTTCTAACTTTAGTCTTTTGGAGTTTTATTCTACTTTGCAATTAAGCTAAAGTATTGCACCTACATGGACCCGAAAAGTGCATAATAAATCTCAAAAATACTGCTAAATCCCACATGATGAGATCAACTAAGTGAAGATATAATATGTCCTTAAGATATTTTAAAACAAGCTCCAGTAACTTCAGGACAGCAATCAAACTTGTGTGACTGGATCTATAACAGTGTTCTTTCAGGCTTAAAATGGCACAGAAATAATTGTGACTATACATAGTAACATATTCCGTGTTAGTAAGAATGATGATGGCAACAGAGAATGAAACAAAATAGAGTACAAGTGTAAATACTGTAGAGTTTGCATAGAAACGTAAATAAGCATTGATTCAAATTTTACTGTTTTAAGAACTGAAAAACAATCTTTGTGGGCCTCTTGAAGTAAGAAACCTTTGTTGAGCCAGATTTCTTGAAGTTTTGAACATCAAAAGCTGTTGTTTCTGTTGCCTGGCAAGTGCTGCTGACTAGTTGAGTTCTTTTGTTCTTGAGTAAAATCAGGTAGATATCACTGTAGTTTTGATACTTCAGTGAAGTGATGGTAGCCTGCTACTTACAGACCTGCTGGTAAGAATACAGACCAGTGGTCAGAATTGAAGTTAATAATGAACAGGTACAATTGATGCACTCTCTGTGTTTGTAGTAAAATCAGGTTAGTAGATTTTTATCTGTTAGAAAGCATTATAGAATGCATAGGCCAGCGGAGGTTCAACGAGGCCCAGTGCTGTATCCTGTGCTGGGGTCACAGCCCCATGCTGAGTTACAGGGAAGAGTGGCTGGAGAGTCCTGGGAATGCTGGTGACAGCAGCTGAACATGAGCCAGTGTGTGCCCAGGCAGCCAAGGGAATCCTGACTGGACCAAAAATGGTGAGGCCAGCAGGAGCGGGACAGTGATTGTCCCCTGTGCTCGGCACTGGTGAGGGACAGCAGCCTTCAGGGAGGACACGGGGTGCTGAATGAGTCCCGAGAAGGGCGGCGGTCCTGTGAGGAGTGCTGAGGGAGCCTGGGGAAAAGAAGGCTCAGGGCAGCCTTACTGTTTCCTGCAGCCACCCGGGAGGAGGCTGCAGGCAGGTGGGGGCCGGTCTCTTCTCCCGAGTAGCAAGTGCTAGGACAAGAGGAAACAGCCTCAGGTTGCACCAGGGGAGGTTTAGATTGGATATGAGGAAAACTGTCTTCACAGAAAGGGTTGTCGGGCACTGGCACAGGCTGCCCAGGGAGGCGGCCGAGTCACCATTCCTGGAGGTGTTTAATGGATGTGGCATTTTGGGATGTGGTTCAGTGGTGGCTGGGCACTGCTGGGGTAACAGCAGGACTCGACTTTGAAGGGTTTTTTTTTTTTTTTTCAGTATGTGTTTTTCTGTGACTTTTTCTGGTGAAAACTAAAATAGGTCAAGCTATACAATATTTTCATAAGCTTATTTGTTAGAACTCTGACTTGGTTTTCCAACAATTATTCTAATATCTTTCTGGTTTTTATTGTAGGTATAATTAAGCTTGAAGGTTTTCATCTGTGACTGTTACCAGAAAAAATGAAGAAAACTACCTGGAGTAGAAAGAACTTTCTGCTTGTAGCAGGACTGTCACTTATAGGTGTCCATATAGGAAGCATGCTCGTAAACTTTGTTGCAAAAAAGTCTGCTCAATCTCATTCAGAAGCTAAACGAGATCGTTCAGAATGAAATAGATTCCTGCTGTGACTATTTGTCTGTTTTGCAACATGATTTAAGCCTCGTTTTAAGAGAGCTGTGATGAGTAGTTTCATGAATGCTGTATATACTGTTTCACACTGAAAATAATAATCCTTACCTGCAAAGAATTAAAATGTACTACTCTTAAAATTTAGAAGAGCAATGAATTATATATCTAGGTAAAAAAATGAAATGTTTTTTTGGCTAGAATTAAAATCTTACCTTCAAAATGTCTCGCCTTGAAGCTAAAAAGCCTCCGTTATTTATTAGTGAGCCACTAACTAGAGATGCAGTGAGTCAGTCACTGTCTCTGCTGAGTGGGATATTAAAGTCTTCCTACGGTCCTGCTGGTCGACTCAAACAGCTCCACAATGGTGTGGGGGGCTGTGTTTGTACCACTTCCCAATCCTCAACCCTCCTGGGGCACCTTTCCATCAGCCAGCCCGTGCTGCGTGTCCTGACAGCCTCTGTACGGAACCACGTGTCGCGTTTCAGTGACTGTGGCTTATTCACTGCCATCCTTTGCTGTGGCTTCATCGAAAATTTCAGGAGCCTGAATGTTGCACCTTCTACTGTCATTAAAATAAGCAAGCATCTTCTGGGTCTGTGCATGGACCACCTGAAATCTGAGGCCTGTGTTTGCCGGGTGTCTGTGGATTTTAGCAGTGTTGAGACCCTTGTTTGCTTGGTTCGGAGCATTTTAACAAGCAAACCTGCTTGCATGCTTAATAAAACTGAAGTTGATCATCTCACCTCACTGGTTTTAAAGGCTTTTATATTTACTGTTCCGTGTCACGTTGAGGCTAATGCTGTTTTAGGGAAGTGTGTGGTGATACCTATGAAAGGTAGAAGAGTTGTGGATTCTACAGTTCTTCCTGGACTGCTTATAGAGGCGCCAGAAATCCAGTTGGGAAAACCACTTGCTGTCAAAAGGACTGGTTCAAACATGATCAAGACTGCTCTTTTCAGTGTGTCCATGGCAGGTGATGGCTCTAACCCTGAGGAAGGAACTATAGCGGTCCATCACGGAGTTTCTCTGGAAGTGTCAGAGCTGAATCAGTTGCTTAATGTGGGGAAGCAGCTGGTTAAGGATGAGGTGGGCCTTGTGGTGTGCCAGAAGGTGATGCATCCGTCCTTGAAGCAGTACCTGAAGGAGCATGGTGTTGTGGCTGTGGACAGGGCTGGGCTGTCTCTGATGGAGCCCCTGGGCTGTGTGACAGGTAACAGGCCGGTTCTCTGCCTAAACCATTGTCCTGGAGTTGTCACTGTGAGGAGAGTGTCACCTGGGCTGGTGTCATCACAGAGAAGAGTCTCTTCTTTCCCTCTACCTTAGCTTCCGAGCAGGAGTTGCTCTTTTCTGGTCCAAAAACCATTTTTCAAGGCAAGTAGGTCTTCTGTGCAGGCCTCAGGTGTTATTACTGCTTGTGGCATGAGGGGTATCCAATTCCAGCAACTGTTTGTTTTCAAACTCTGAATCAAGGCAAATGAAACAATCCCTTTTTTCA